TCACTCTTTCTCTCCCTCCTCTCACCATTTTCTCTCCTTCTCTCTTTCTCTTTTTCTCTCTCACTCTCTCCATCACTTTATCTCTCTCCTACTCCTATCCTCTCCCTCCGTCCTTTCCTTTCTCTCTATCATTCTCACTTTCCCTCTCGCTTTCTCCCGTCCTCCCTCTCTCTACCTCTCTCCCTTTCCCTCTTTCTCTTTATCTACCCTAATCTCCCTCTCTCTCTCTACTCTCTCCCTCTCTCACTCCCCCTCTCTCACTCGCTCTCTCTCTCTCCCTCCCCCTCCTACCCTCTCTCCCACCCTTTCCCTCTTTCTCCTTTTCTATCTCCTTTACCTTCTCTCCCCTTCTCTCCCTCCTTCCCTCTTTATATCCTTTTCTGTCTCTCTCTCACCCCTTCTCTCCTACTTTTCTCTCTCCATCTCTCTCACCCTCTCTATCCTTATCTCCCTCCCACTCTCTCCCTCCCTCTTCCTTTCCCTTTATCTCTCTCTTTTTTATCCATATCTCTGTCTCTCCTTTTCTCTATCAATCTATCTCTCTCCCTCTCTCTCTTTCCCCGTAACCCGCTCTCTATTTATCTCTCTCTACACTATTTCCCTCCCTTCCTCCCTCCCTTCCTTCCTCTCTCTCTTTCCCTCTCTCTCATTCCCTCTCTTTTGCTCTCTCCCTCTCTCTCTTTCTTTTTAACCTCGCTCTCTATTTATCTCTCTCCCATACTCTTTACCTCCCTTCCTCCCTCCCCTCCTTCCTTTGTCTCTTCCTCCTCTCTCTCACTCCTCTCTCTTGCTCTCTCCCTCTCTCTCTTTCCTTTTAACCCACTCTCTATTTATCTCTCCTACACTCTTTCCCTCCCTCCTTCCTTCCTCTCTCTCTCCCACTCCCTCCCTCTTGCTCTCTCCCTCACTCTTACCCTCTCGCTCTCTATTTATCTCTCTCATACACTCTTTCCCTTCCTTCCTCTCTTTCCCTCTCTCTCTACTCTCTCTCCTACTCTCTCCCTCCTTCTCACTCTCCCTCTCTCCCTTCTCCTTTTTTATCTCCCTCTCTATCCCTTTTCCCCCACCCTCCCTCTCTCTCCCTGCTCCCTCTCTCTCTACCTCTACCTCTCTCTCCCTCTCTCTTCCTCTCCCTCATCCTCTTTCCCTCTCTCACTTTTATCCCCTCTATTCTCTCTATCCTCCTCTATTTCTTTCCTTTTATCTCTATCTCCCCCTCTCTCCCTCCCTCTATCTCCCTTCCATTCTATCTATCTCTCACTAACTCTCTCCATATCTCTCCTACTCTCTAACCTTATCTTTTTTCTCTCTCCCTTTCTCTCATTCTCTCCGTCTCTCTCACCTTCACTCTCTCTCTCTTTCTCCCTCACTCTCTCTCTCTTCCTTCCTCCCTTCCTCTTTCTCCCTCACTATCTCTCTCTCGCCTTCTCTATTTCCCCCACCTTTTCCCTCTCACTCTTTCACCCTCGTCCTCTCTCACTCTTTCACCCTCGTCCTCTCTCACTCTCTTTCCCTCTCTCTCTACCCCTCTATATCCCTCTTTAACTCTCCCTCTTTCTCTTTCTCTCTTCCTCTCTCTCTCTCACACTCTTTCCCTCATTTTCTCTCTCTGTTTCTCTCTTTCTCACTCTCTATCTTTCTCTTTGGCTCCCTTCCTTCTCCACCTTTGTCTCTCACTCTCTCCCTCACCCTATGTCTCCCATCTATCTCTTTCTCTATTCCTCTTGCTCTCCCTTCCTTTCTCTCCTCCCTCTCCCTCTCTCTCCCCCTCTCTCTCATTCCCACTCTCTCTCTCCCACTCTCGCTCTCCCTCTCTCCTCCTTTATCTCTTATTTATCTCTCCTCCTCCCTCCCTATCTCCCTTTATCTCCCACTCCCTCTCTCGCTCACTCTCTCTATCCCTCCCTCTCTACCTCCTCTCTCTTCCTATCTCTCTCCCCTTTTATTCCTCTCTCCCTCCCTCTCCTCCTCCCTTTCCTTCTTTCCCTCTATCTCTTCTTATCTCTCTCACCCTTTATCGCTCACTTCTTCTCTTAATGTCTTTCTCCCCATCTCTCTCTCCCTCTTCCTCTCTCTCTTCCCCTTTCTCTTCCTTGTACCTTTCTCTCTCCCTTTCTCACACTCCATCTATCCTTCTATCTCTCTCCTTCCCCCTCTAAACCTTTCTCTCTATCCTCATATCTCTCTCCCTCTCTCTCCCTTCATCTCTCTCCCATCCCTCTTTCCTTTCCATTTGTTCATCTCTCTCTCTCCCCGGTATCTCTCCTTTTTCTCTAGTGTTCTCTCCCTCTCTTTTTCTCTCTCCTCTCTCTATCCCTCTCTCTCTCCCTCTCTCCCCCTCTCCCTTGTCCCTCCATCTCTCCCCCTCACACTCTCTCTCCCTCCTTCTCTCTAAATTTTTCTCTCCCTCTCTCTCCCTCTCTTTTTTCTCTTTCTATCTCTCTCTCTCCATCCCTCTCTATCTCCCTCTTCTTTTCTCTCTCCTACTCCTACCGTCTCTCTCTTTTCTTTTTTCTTTTCTCTCTCTTTCTCACTCTCCTTCTCGTCCCCCATCTACCTCTTTCCCTCTCACTCTTTCTCTTTTTTTCTTTCTCTCTATCCCTCCAATCTCCCTCTCTCTCTATCCTCCTCTCTCCCTCTTTCTCTCTCTCCCTCTCACCCTCCCTCGTTCCTTCTCGTTCTCCCTCTCTCTTCCTCTTTCCCTTTCTCTTTTCTTCTCTTTCCCTCAATTTCTATCCCTCTCCCTTTCCTTTTCACTCTCTCTCCTCTCTCTCACTCCCTCCATCCCTTTCTCCTTCTTATCCCTCGCTCTTTCTCTCTCTTTCCCTCCCTCCTCTCCCTCACTCTCCCTTTCTCTCTCAACCCCTCTCTCTCTCTCTCACTCTCCCTTTCTCCCTCTCTCTCCCTCTTACCCTTTCCCTCTCTCTCCCTCTTTATCCCCACTCTCATCCTCTCTATCTCCCTTCCTTTCTCTTTCTCTCCTTCTCTATCCCTATCTCCCTTCCTTTCTCCCTCTCTCTATCTACTTATCTCTCTCTTCCTCTTTTCCTCTCTCTTCCTCCGTCTAACCCTCTCTCCATTTACCTCTCTTTTCCTCACCCTCCCTCCCTCCCTCTCTCCCTCTCTCACTCCCTCTCTCCCTCTCTCACTCCCTCTCTCCCTCTTTCCCACCCTCTCTCCCTCCCTCTCCCTCTCCCACACTCTCTTATTCTCATCTTATCCTTCTCCCACTTTCCCTCTCTCTTTCCCCCTCTATCTCTCTCCTTCTATCTCTCTCTCCCTCTTTCGATCTCCCTCTCTCTCACTCTATCTCTCTCCAACTCTCTCTAACTCTCTCTTTCTCTATCTATCCCTCTCCCTCTTCCTCTCCCTCTTTCTCTCTTTCCTTTTTTTCTCGATTTCTCCCCCTCTTCCTCTCTCTCATTCTCTCTCCATCTCTCCCTTTCTCCCTCCCCTTCTCTTTATCTCTCTCCCCCTTCTTTCCTCTCTCTACCTCTCTATCTCACACCCCTCTCTCCTCCCTCTTTTTCCCTCTCCATCCCTCTCATGCTCCCTTCCTCTCTCTCCCTTTCCCTCTCTCTCTCGCCCCTTTATCTCTCTCCCTTTCCCTCTCCCTCTCTCTCTTTATCTATCTCTCTTCCCCTCTCTCTCCTATTTCTCTCTTTCTCCCTCCCTCCCTCACTCTTCCCTTCTCTCTCTCTCTTTCTCTCATACTTTCTCTCTCACTCTCACCCTTACTCTCTCTCTCTCTTTCTCCCTCTTTCTTCCTCTCCCTCTCTCCCTTACTTTCTCTTCCTCTCCCTCCCTCTCTCTCTTTCTTTCTCTCTCCCTCTTTCCTCCTCTCCCTTTTTTCCTTTCTCTTTTTTCTTCTCCCTATCTCTCTGTCCCTCTTTCCCCTTATCTTCCTCACTCTCCTTTTCCCTCTATCTATCTCTCCCTCTCTCCCTCCTGTCTCCCCCTTCCTCTCTTTTTCTCTCTCTTTCCCTCTCTCTCTTTCTCTCCCGCACACTCTCTCCCCCTCTCTCGCTCACTCTCTCTCCCTCTCTCGCTCACTCTCTCTCCCTCTCTCTATCCTCTCCCTCTCTCCCCCTATCTCCCTCTTTTCCTCTCTCCCCCTTTTTCTCCCTTTCTCTCCCTCTCTTTTATTAGGGTAGGTGCTCAAAATCCAACCTTGTTTGGATGGTTTGACTTATTGTAATAATGCATTCTTTCTTTTTTTTAATAAAAGAAGTCTTTCTATTAATTTTTGTTATTTATATTTTGATAGAATTATATAGAAGTCCATATGATATACATTACATTAATGATTGATCGAAAGATATGAGACAAATATTAATGTACTTAAATGATATCATTAAATATCCTAAGTTGTAGTATTATCAAGAATGGACGATGAACTAAGAAAGAGCTCTTAGTAGTGCATGCCTTAGAGTGAGAATGTAGAGAGAGACGTTCTCCTCCTCCTATGGAGATCTTTCCCTCATGGTAGGGTTTGCTACTTGTTCGGGTTGCTCTTCCTTTCACACCTTCACCATATTCTAGCTTTTTCCCTCGTCTCTCCTCTCTCCATATTCACCTTCCCTTCTCTTCCCTACCATTCTCTTCTTTTCTCTATCATCGACCCACCCACCTTTTCCCTAATGGAAAAAAAATCGTTTCTCTCTTTTCTCTATCATCGACCCACCCACCTTTTCCCTCATGGAAAAAAAATCTATTTCTTAACCCTCACGATCTGCTGTAGGTCGAGAATCCGTGGCTCCAACATAGCCACTAGAAGCTCTTGTGCCCTCTCGCTCATCCTTTGAATGATCCGGTTCCGCCCTCTCACCATTTGGGCCCAACCCTAGCCGGTGAAATTGGCACTTCCAACGAGTCCTCCCCTAACCATTCCTATGACCTAGCTCCCGCATGTGATTATGTGGAGGTTGAGGATTGTTCGGAAGGAGTAGATTCTATTGAGGCGAAGTCAATTCATCGGATTCGGATGGGGAGCTGGTCTCATGGTCCAAATTCTTCGGGACACCTCCTACTTCTCTACTACCGATGAGACACTGCTCATTATCGGTGTGCATTCCGCTTTAGCTTTGCTTCTTCCTCAACCGACTAGTGGGTATATTCCTAATGTTCCGCCTCGAATTGGGTCCGAGTGCTACCGCCACTCCTCCTACCGGAACGGCTCGTCCTTACTTGAGCAACATGCCTAGTTCTCAACCTACCGCCATTTCGGGTAACTCGAACCCTCTCGCTAGCAAATGGAGAAACTAATTTGCTAATAATCGTAGTGCTTGAATCATGTCCAAAGCTCACTAACGTTTCTACTATAACCGATACTAAAAATTGTATATTGCTTGATGATGACCCAAAATGTGAAGTATGGAAGTCTTGTTTGGTTAGGTATGTTGTTGGAAAATCTCCAAGATTTAGGGCCCTATAGGGGATTATTGCTAACACATGGAAATATGAAGCTACATTATCTATACATGACTCAGAGTTGGTTGGTTTACAAATTTTCCTCGGAGGAGGCCAAATTATCTATGTTACATTGCGACCCATACTTGATATTTGGTCGGCCTTTGCTATCGAGACCTATGCCGGAGTTCTTTGATTTTTCCAGTGAGGAGATGTCGATGGTGCCAATTTGGGTGAAATTTCCTAACATCCCCCTTAAATGTTGATCGAATCCGTGCCTCTCAAAAATAGCTAGCTTACTTGGTAAACCCATTCAGGTGTGATAGATTGATCGCCTCCATTGATAGGATTTCTTATGCTAGAGTTTTGGTTGAGCTAAATATCATGCAAGAACTATCGAGAATGGTAAACATTAGGCTTCCCAATGGTTTTGATCTTCATTAGCCTCGTTGTGTATGAAACTCTACCTACTCATTATAAGATTCATCAAGTTTTAGGGCACTCCACTACTTCTTGTGGTAAGCGACCTCATCGTAGTGAATCGGACCATTGTCGTGGTTAGTAATCGGGGCGAGCATCCAGCATTAGGCCGGAGTTGAGTGTATTTCGTAGGTTAGAACTCGATGTTCGTCGCTAGGACCCCCATGATTTTGCCGATGGCTAATTCACTTAACCCTATGTGTTTGGAGGTCACTCGCTACTTCGGGGAATGTGTGACGGATGGAGTCCAAGTCGAAGCTCGGACTTGGCGGCCCTTTCAAGCTCGAACTTGGACGAATACTTCGCTTAGACTCAATAAAATTGATAAGCTTAATCTAGGCAGAGCTACTCCTGTGGTTCTAGACCTAGAAATGACGGCTCGGAAAAGGAAAGGAAAGGTCGTTGAAGCTCGGTCAAACTAGTATGGGGTCGGCCCCAACTAGAGTGTCGATGTGGGTTGTAGAGGCCGTGTAGCTGGTGTTCTAGATATTGCCAATGAAGCTAGGGTGGATATGACAAGCCATGGTCATTAGCACGGAGCAAGCCGCCAATGTCTTTACTCGAAAGCTCTTTACGGATGACCACTCGAAGTCGAAGTATGGGCACTAAAAGGGATGCTAAGGGGTTCCTAGCACCTCTGCTACTATATATTAATTTCCAGTTAGAATGTTAGGGGTCTAAATAGTCCCCTAAAGCGGCATGAGGTTGCTGGCCTTATGAGAAAGAAGAAGATAGATGTTTGTGCTTTTGTTGAAACCAAGCTTAGCCTTTCTAAGCTTTCTAAGCTCACGCAAATACACGAGTTTTGGTTCAAGTAGTGGAGGTTTATCTCTAATGCGACTATGGCCTCCAATGCCCTTTTGCTCTTTTTTAGAATCCAACTTCTTGTTTCGGTTGATTTACTAGTCGTTTCGCCAAGTGGCCGCATGTTAAAATCAATAGCCTTATCCACCAAATGGGATTTACTACCACTTTTGTACATGGATATAATACTCTTATTCAACGAAGGGAGATATGGGATAGCCTTCGTCGATGGAACCCCCATAACCCTTGGCTCATCCTTGGGGATTTTAACTCGATCCTCTTATAGGATGACAAACACAATGGTGTTACGAGTATCTAGATATGAGACCTCGGAATTTCATACTTGCTGCTTGGATCTTGGTCTTACCGATCTTATCTACACGGGTAGTCACTTTACATGGACCAATGGGAGTGTTTGGATAAAGATAGATAGAGTTTTAGTCAACCCACATTGGTCTACGCTTCGACGTACTGCTTTTGCTCATTTTAGGCCACCAAGAGCTTTCTCGAACCATGCTCAAGCCTCGGTGAAGTTGGATAGCCAGCCTTCTTCGAGCCGAAAATGCTTTAAATTTTTCAATATGTGGGCTAATCATGAATGCTTTCTTCGGATGGTCTTATAACATTGGCATTGTGACTGCGGAGGAAGTTGTATGTATATCTTATGCCGAAGTGGAAGCTTCGAAAGGGCCTTTAAACCGAATAATCTTCGCTTCGACCACATCTCGAAAGGGTTGCTCGAGCGATGGAGGAACTTGACCATTAGTAGCAAGCCCTTCATAATGATATAGATAACACCCTTCTTCTCGAGCAAGAGATGCTTTTAAGACTAACTTTGGTTAATCTCAAGTCGACGGAGAAGATGTACTTTGCACGTAAACTCAAATGCAAGTTCCTCGAGGACAAGGATAGAGGCGAGTTGGTTTTTCCACACTCTCATTAGCCAAAGCCACAAGAGAAATTTTATTGTAGCCATACGGGGCGGTGATGGGCGGTATACCACCTCTTTTCAAGGTGTGGGAGGAATTTTTGTTGACTACTTTAAGAATCGACTTGGTTCATCTAGGGTCACTCTTCCTCTTGATGCAGCGGTTGTTGCTAGTGGGCCTTGTCTTGATGCTAGTGCTTTTGAGTTGTTGCTAGCCCTCGTTACCAATGAGCACACCAAGGCAACTCTGTTTGGGATTGGTAATGATAAAGCCCCGGGCCGAATGAGTATTCTTCTTCTTTTTCGAGTGCACTTGGGATATTATGGGTATAGATTTTTGTGCAACAATGAAGGACTTCTTCACCTCCGGTATCCTTGTTAAATAGATAATCATTATGTCATTGCCTTAATTCCTAAGTCAACAAATGCTTCCTCTCCGATCGATTTCGGATCGATATCCTACCGCAACATTGTGTATAAAGTCATCTCTAAGCTTATCTCTTCCAGATTAGACCAAACATTGCTTGAGATTATAAGCCCCATGTAGAATGCTTTCTTGGGTGGGAGGAAGATGTTGGATAACATTCACTTGCTTCAGGAGCTTCTTCGACGAGTATGGTCGGAAGCGAGCTTCCCCACTATGTCTTTTGAAGATCAATTTCAAGAAAGCATTTGATTCGAGTGTAGTGGCCCTTCTTGAGAAACTCCGTTTACGAGCTTGGCTTCCCACCTACCTTTGTTCATCCGGTCATGACATGTGTGGAATCTTCCTCCCACTCTATTCGTTGTTAACGATAATCTGTTTGGTTTCTTTCTAGGCAAAAGTGGTATCCAATAGGATTATCCTCTTTCCCCCTATCTCTTCATAGCCTCGCATGGAATACTTTTCTCGTATGCTTACGCTATCATCTACTTGAGCCGATTCCAAGTTTCATCCACAATGTGGGGTTCAACGGATTAGTCACATTGCTTTTGTTGATGATTTTATGCTTCTTTGTAGAGGAGATAGAGCATCGGTGCGAGTGCTTGACTTAATAGCTAAGTCTTTTCGGTTGAACTTATGGGCTAGCCATCAACGTAGCTAAATCTTTTATTTATTTTGAGGGGGTTAGCAATAACTCGAAGTAAGCCCTCCTATAGGATATTGGGTTCACCGAGGGTACATTTCCTTTCGGATATCCGGGGTTCCTCTAAGCCCTCACGGGCTTTTGGCTAGTCAATTCTCTCCTCTGCTGCAAAGCTTAGAATCGATCGTATAATTTTAGATGGGAAAACATCTCTCGTATGCTAGAAGGCTAGAGCTTCGAGATCTATTTTGGTCGGTATAATTCAATTTTGGTTGGCCATATTACCTATCTCGGCTAATGTCCTCTCTAGTATCACTCGTATATACAGGAATTTCCTTTGGACTAGGGATGTGAGTAAAAGCCACTCGGCGTTAGTTGCTTGGAAGCAGCTTTGCTGCTCTAACAAGGAAAGGGGTCCGGGCTTATGGGATCTCAAAACCCTAAATTCTTGTTTCCTTGCCAAGTAACTTTAGGACATCCATCTTAAAGCCGACTCAATTTGGATTCAATGGGTACACACTAGTTCTACTTACACGACCAAATGGTGTGGGATGTTCAAGCTCCCAAGACTCGCTTCACCCTTGTGGAAAGCAATTGTATCTACACGTGATCGGCTTGTTGGAAAATTTAGAGATCAAACTCGGATAGTTGTAATGCTAGGAAATTAGAGACAAGGCTAATTTACTTGCAACGCTTATGATAATCTTAGGCCTAAGAGTGAGTTAGTCAATTGGACCCAAGGAGTCCGGGAACATTGGGCTCTACCGAGGCATGTATTTGCGTTATGGCTAACGGTTAAAGGTAAGCTAAAAACTATTGACCACCTTCGCTTTGTCCTGGATGATCCCAAGTGTGCTCTTTGTAGGATTACTATAGAATCGCATCGCCATCTATTCTTTGAATGTCTTTGGATGGCCGGTTGTGGGCTAAGGTTCGGCATTGGTTACGAATTAACGGAACCATGTCTACACTAGCAAGTGTCATTAGAGGCCTCTTTATCCCAAGGAATAATTTGGAAGCTCGTATGCATAGAGTCTCTCTAGGAATCATAGCATACTTAAGTTGAGAAGAAAGGAATAAGAGAATTTTTAATGGTACCCCATATGTCGTGGAGTTTGTCTTCGGGAAGTTCCAAATTTTATTCTTCATGATATTTCACTTTCATGAGAAAGATCATACCATTTTGAATGTTGGCTAATGGGTTGCGCTAATGGGTCCTTACTCGACTCGGCGTCTCACGGGTATGTTCCGAGCTTATCGTTCGTCGCTAGTATTTTGGTTTAAGGTCTGCTCGGTGTTAACCTTCTTTGGGTTCCGGGATGCATCTAGTCAAATGGCCGCAGAGGCTCGGCTTACTATGGTTGCTCGGCTAACCTCTCGTTTCTAAAGAGCTTCTAATACTGCTCGTATCTGCCGGCTCTTGCTTCGGCTTTGGTTGTTTCTATAACTCGCCGTTCCTACTAGCGCTTGCTTTTTGGCTAAGGTCTGGTAGTGGTCTCTTGGTGCTCAACTCCTTTGGGTTTTGGGATGCATATGGTCTACTTGCTAAGATGAATCTAGCTTGTTGGACTTGCCTCTCGGACCTACGGGTTTATGTAGTTTCTATAGCTACTACTCCCGTTGCTATTTTTACGCAGCACTTACTTCTTGGCTCTAGTTG